ATTTAACTAAAAGCATTTGTTTAATATTGACATTTTTCTACCACACAAATACCACAACACATTTATTCTGCACAGACCACTGGGTAGGAGACACAGGAGCCTTTGTTTCTTACTGCCCTCAGCAGCCCACCTGAAGCTATAGCAATCCCTAAGAAGTCTTGGGCCAACTGAAGTTGTTGGGTATTCCATGAGTTCCATGAGTGTGATTTTAAATTGTGGTAGATTGTAGAAAAGAGTCTTGAGACAGAACCACACCAGAGAAGACCTCATTAGTTTAGTTGGGTCTCTGTAACAAAGTAGGACTTTGCCTGATATCAAAAGGTCAAGAAATTACCTATGCAGACCGAAGAGGAAAACTGTCCAGGCATAAGAAACTTGATAAATAGCCAATGCTGAGGAAGAGGTGAGTTGTTCAGGTACTGCTTACTTCAGAAGAGCTTGACAGAAAAAGATTATGAATTAGAGAAGATTGGGAAATGCTACTTACCTATTGTCAAAGGCTACTTTCCCCAAAACTTCTCAAAGGCTTTACTATACCAATGCACATCGTGAATGTACCAATGTACATCTAAGAGAAGGAGCCAGTGTACAGTTCTTCCCAAATCTAAAAAACTGGATTTCTCAAAGGCTGGTATCCCCATTAATCTTTGAGAAATACTCTTCTACCATCGCAACTGCTCTATTAAGGCCCAGCTGTGCATCACTACTGCTTTTCCCACAAGGCTGCTGACACCTCAACTAATTATTCAGAAGGTCTGAAGTGCCACTCTGAATCTTGGCAGGCCCCATGTGCAAATGGAAGATTTCAACATACAGGTTGGTATATGAGCCCAGGAAAGTTAACTAAATGTTCAAACTGAAAAAGGAATGTGTGAAAATTTCATTTTTAAATGAGTACACTCAACAATGAAAATTGCCTATATTCTTATTTCTAGGTCAAGACAGAGAGAAAATGGGCAAAGGACAAAAGATCAGGATATTCCTTTTATTGTCAATTGATATATCAACAGACATACACCTGAAATAAGACTACTTAGTAGCAAACATCATAGTTTCCCTTATACTTAAAATTTATCATTTAATTGCCTATTCCCATCTTATTGTATCATGGGAAAATGCTTTAAATCCTTACTTTCTTTATACTTTCTGAATGAATGCTTTAATAAATACACCAGAGAATATTGGATTTTTACCTTCACAATATTCCCTATGGTCTTTTAAATTACTGTAGTCCAAGTTGTGCTATGCATTTTATACACAGCTGGCTAAATTAAGAATAACATATATAATCACAAAAGTAGAAGATATTTTATCAAAAAAGCTCATAATTCTTAACAGATATGCCAGTCTTTTAGATGTATTTATGATCTTCCTGTCATTGTTTTCTTTTCTTATCTTTATATACAAACAATAGTTTTCAAATAGTTTTGAATGACTTGCTTACCTTCCAACATCACCTCAAAATTCAAAATGATATTACATGCTTGCAACCCTTCCATATTCAAAGGTATTTTTGAAGACATCATAGCTGAGGGATGCAGTTTGAGCCCAGAGAGAATTAAATTAATATCCTGGCTTGACCAGTTCAACTTACCGTATATCTTCATTTGCCCAGTAATACAATCTATAGCCAACTACTAACCAAGTCAATATGTGGTAAGACTAACAGCCACCCTAACTTGCCTTGATAATTATTCTCCTTTAACTGACATAATATTCAATATACTGTTGTTGAGTGCAATAATGCTAAAATTGATGCCTTGAGGGCTACAAGACAATTGAGTTTTAGCCAGATAAAATGACTTGTACACTAATACTGCTTTATATAGTCCTCTAGCCTTCAGATGTACATTTTATAGTCTACCTGTACAAAAATGCTGTATATAATTATATCCAAAGTCATTTGTTCATACCTTATCATTAGTGTGTATAATTTAAAAATATTGGCCAATAATTTAGTAGCACAACTTTAGAAGAAACATAAATACAGGTTTATGTTTATAGTCCAGCTTTCTTCTTTTACAAAATAAGTATTTTTTTACTAAACAATTGAAAATGTTTTTGTATATTGAGATCATGTTTATTCCCCTAATCTAAGAACTATTTTTACAAGGAGCAAGTATATTATAAATACCAAGTGACAAAAAAACACCATTTAAAATAAATCTATATTGCATCAATTCTATCAATAAAACAAGACAAACTAAACCTACAGTTACTTTCATATCATTTCTGAAAATGTCAACTCTATATTCTGAGTGGAGAGACACTAAAATTGAAATTTGTCAAAATTCATATATAACTAAATGGAAAGTGACTATAATTTAATTTCACAACGGTATTGATGCTCTTTCTATGAAGTATCTTATCTCCAAATAAAAAACTTGTAGGTTTCTCTGAATTTTTTCTATCATACTTATTTTCTCTTGTATCTTAATAACTCTTTGTATCTTTCATACAAAAAAGAACTATATAGTATATTTTAAATTAGTACATTTTCTCTATTTTCCTTAAGAGATATGTTGAAATATGGAGAAAATTAATATCTACTTATTTTAAGGGAAAAAAGCCCAAAGCTCTAATCAAGGCACAACAGTAGAAACCATGTCACAGAGAAAGAGCAGGTTGTACATTGTTATCAAAATGCAATAGTAAGCTGCTAGCAGCTGTTAAGACAAATCAGCATAGCCATGCACATATCTATTCGTTTGAACAGAAAGACGTATGCTCCTATTATCTTAGGTAAAAACAATGTATATGTTCTCGTTACCTTAGTTAAAAAAAAAAAAAGTAGAACTGAAATACAGCACTGATGACAGAAACAAGAATCACAGTGAAGTAAGACAGTACCTGCTTAAAACAACATATTGTAGGTTTTGAATAAAGGAAAGACCAACTATTAACCAAGCTAAAAGTTCCAGTTAAACATCTATAAGAGGTTTCTTCCTTTATGTAGGAAAAAAAATTCAACCAAAGCAGACATTAATAATCATGTTGTGGAACTCACTGCAGAAGGATGTGTCATTGCATGGATCTCAGTGCCAGGGATTATGAAAATTGTTCCAGGACTTTGTTTTTCTGGCCCTTTACTCCTGGTCCCCCCACCTCATGTCCCTTGACCATCCACTTCTTATCTGCCCACATACCCTACTAACATGCCCTTTCAGGCAAATGAGTTAACCCTGTAAACAAATTCTATAAACTCTAATAAGATTATTATCACCATCATCTCATCTTCTAAGGGCCAACATTTTTGTGCCTTCCAAGATGAGGTGCTCATTAAACTAAGAACTAATTTTATTCTGGGAGCCAATAGGTTATTTGGTTTCCTTGGGGGTGGTGAGTTGTGATGGTTATATTCTCTTTCACTGGCATGGGTTATACAAATTAGTTACACAAACTATTTCTTAAATTGCAAACATTTTCTACAATATCATTACAGCATATGTCTATGATACTAAAACATTAAGGTAGAAATCTTTCTTTTTCTATTTCTGCTCACCATTCCACCACTACTCTCGTCCTGGAGAGCACCTGGAGGTTCAGCATAGAAGAATGACAAAAATTTCTGTGATCCAATGCCAGGTTTAAAGCAAGGGGAGACTTGAGACTCACTGTTCATCACATACCAAGCTGGCAGCCAAAAACTTGCATATAATACAGAGTGGCTCGAGTGATAAACACTGGGAATTATCTCCAGAACTGTACAAGGCTGGCACAGCAAAATTCATTCTAAGAGAGAAGAGTCAATTCTCCTGGGTTTTACCCTATGAAAAATTTAAAAAAACAGTTTGGATTCTGCTTTCTCAAGTGAGTCCTCCTTCAATAGAAGGTGTTAGTTTATCATCCCATGTAATGTTTTCAGATCCTAGGGTCTTCAAAAATGTTCTCAACACTTTCCCCTCAAGGATTATGGGAAGGCAGGTGGCCATAACATTTTCAAAAGCCAAGGGCTCATGCCTATAATCCTAGCTATTCAGGAGACTAAAATCCAAATATTGTGGTTTGAAGCCAGCCTGAGCAGAAAAGTATGTGAGATTCTTATCTCCAATTAACCAGCAAAATACTGAACATGAGGCATAGCTCAAGTGGTAGAGCGCCAGGTCTGACCATCAAACAAAAAACTCAATGAGAATGGAAGGCTGTGAGTTCAAGCCAGGGTATAAGCTGGAAAGAAAACAGCAAAGTATGCATTGCAAAATTACTCGTACTGCATAAAAACAAAGAAAAATGGGTTGTGGAGTAGGGTAGGATGGAGGCTGTGGGCCTTACCAGATCACAAGTATCAATGACACACACACACACACACACACAGGCTCTGGGATAGAACAGGTACTGTGAAGCCCAAATCTATCACACACACACACACACACACACACACACACACACACACACACACACACACACACACACATACACACAGGCTCTGGGATAGAACAGGTACTGTGAAGCCCAAATCTATCATCATGTCTGTATGTTCACCATGAAGTAACTTTAAGGGTTATACTGTGGTTCTAACAGCAGAGTGCACATATGTGGCAGCTCTTTCTTTGATTTGGATAAACAGTAAATAGTGTAGACATACCAAAAACCAAGAAAAAAAACACCAACACATCTCCTAGCTGAAGGTGAACAAAAGCCTTAAATGGACCACATGGAGTATAACCTCCGATTTCATATCCCCATCACCTACCTCAAAAGAGCCTCCTATACTAATAAGGCAACACTAAACTTCACAGGGAAAGCCAGAAAGCCCACATTGTAGAAAGAAAGCACTGTATTCAAAATGTGCAAACAATTAACAGCAGTCAGCCAAACCACCTTTTCCCTTCTAATATACACCACTAAGGCATGAGGGCCACCTGCTGGGATAGGTCTCCTTCCCAATTTCCTGACCAGACTGTGGGTGTGACTGGCAGGCTAAAGATCAGGTGTGCTCAAGGCTCTCAGCCAACACTCCACGTGCTGGCTTAGAGGTAGGCCCCCAAATCCTCTCCTACCTGAAGGATGTATCCTCGGACATAGTCCCGCAGAGTCCAGCCCAGGCCATGCAGTATGTGCAGCACTTCCTCTTGCTTCAGGACACTGAAGAGCCGGTCCAGCAGGATCTTCAGCCGCACAGGCACAGCCTGTGTCCCGTAGAGCATCAGGCTGCTGATGTCGAACACCACATTCGACTGCACAATCTCAACTTGGGTGGGGTGATACAGGTGCTGCGTGCTGAGCTTATCCAAGGCTGTGGGCATGCCACCAATGTCCCAGGGATGGGTGGGAATAGAGGGATAAAAAGGAGAGAAATAAGAGAAATTAGAAACCTTACTGGGTAGGATCAGAGACCCATTTCTAAAAAGGTTCCTACCCACGTATGTTAAAGCACGATCCCCTCTCCTCTCTGTTTTGGACTCTTTATCTTTAATCTAGAGTTTACAAAGTGCAGACACAACAAATATAAGACAGATTCAACTTACAGAAATCCAGAAAACAAGTCATTGAGGATGTTTTTGAATAACCATCACTATCTCTAAAAACCTAATCCATTTACTAATTGGACTATGGCTCAAGTTGCCATGGTGTTCTTCATTTCTCTCAACACCAAATATTCATACTCTTGCTCAACCAATACTCTTGCTTTCTTCAGCTGCTTTGTTGAAGCTCAACCATTACCACTGATTTGATTAAGATTCAACCCTCAAACTGGGTATGGTGGCACAGGCCTGTAATGCTAACATGCGGAAGTCCGAGGCAGCAGTATCACAAGTTTGAGGACAGTTTGCATGCATGGTGAGACTCTTACATCAAAAAATATATATATAACCACTTATAACAAACAAGTTTTAAAGAGGAGGAGCTCCTTTAGACCATCAATGTAACCAGCCTAACTTGGACTTGGCAAAACAGCACCCACTTCCTGTTAGCAAAATGAGCTCCCTTCCCGTAGCTTAGTTCACTCCTTCCCCTCTCCACAGCTTAGCATGCTCTCTTCCTAGGCAACACTCCGCCCATGTAGTAAAGGCAGTAAATAATCAACTTCCAACCCCCTTTACCTTGGGATGGCACTTCTCTGGGGCAGCTACCACCATATAAGGCAACAAGAACCCCTTAGAGTGACCTTCAGGTCTGGGTAGTTGATTCCCAGTAAGCAGGAGGATGGAGAGTTCCAAGCCAGCCTGGGTTACATAAAGCGATAAAGCCTAACAGAGGGAACATGGAAAGCTGACACTTCTGTGGAGGACAGTAAAAATTTCATTCCATTTAAATTAGCTAGTGTGTGTGTTGGGGGGGGGGGACTGAAAATTCAGTTTGCTCTGATTTTCTCTTTTTTCCTGTGTGCTAATTTTGTCATTACTAGCATGTTCTCTGGAAATTACTCTGGAGGAGTAATTCAGGTCACAATTCAGTCACTTTGTTAACAGGTCTGGAAAAGCTCTCATATGAAAATGGAAACAAATGACTAAAATGAAATTCTGGGAATTTCTAGGTGTTTCAACTAATTGTACTACCACAAGGAAGAAACATGTTGGCCATTCTTGGGAGTAAAAACATTCAATGAAACTAACTAGTATCTCAACTGAGCTATTTCTCAATACTTGAGAAATAACATCTCTTCTGGGAACTGAAATCCTTACTATGCTAAGGTCTTAAATTCTATCTCAATTTTATAGGATGGGATCTTCTATAATTGGGAATCTAACTTTTAATAATACAATTCATTTGGCCTCAGTTTCTCCAAAGTTAATAATTAAGTTTATACAGTCTTAGCTACTGGGTTCAAGAGATGACGTGAGATTATTAAGCTGATGAATGAGAAACATGTACAACAACTTAAGACAACACCAAAGGCATTTTCAATAACTATTGGAATTATATCCATATGCCATTGTAGAGATTAAGAAGATAAACAAATAAGCCTGAAAGATGGACATCTAACCTCTTGGGTCAAGCAAATGGATACTGGATAACATCCTGGTTTAAATCACACATGAAAGTACCCGAGATTGCTGAAAATTCTAAGCTACTTTATAGCCTCTCTCAAGTGCTTTCTCTAACACTTTTCCTCCCAACAGTACAGGATACATATGTAATCTTAGCAATTCCTATTTTAACATACCAGAATTTCTGCATAATAATGGAGGGATTCAAAATGCAAGCTTACAGGTTTTTTAGTATTTCTAATGTATTTTTTAAGGGCTCCTCCTCCATTCTCATTTGCTCCTGACTTGTGGTCACCAGAGAGTTCATGTACTCTTGATAAATTGCTTTCTTACATCCACAGTGTAAAGGCCCTTATCATTTACCCGCTGGCTTCATTCAACACATTTACTCCCAGGAATACTTTGTCAAAGAGTTCGGGTTTCCTCATACTTCATTTCTTGCAGCTTATTTGTCTGATCTTTCCTATTCTAGTGGTTAAGTCAACTTTGAATAAATAGCTTTAAAAATTAATTTAACATTTGGGAAAGATAAGGGATTCACAAGCCTAGAGATTGAAGTCTTCTCTCACTCCACAGGGCATTTAGGCTGCAGAAAAAGCAGAAAAAGGGTATTATCATTCTTGTTCTATACAGCTTAACTATGCAGCCTTCCAATGAGTGACTGATCTGCCTGCAGAATTTAGTGACAGACTTGGGGAAATCAGTTCCTCCTTGTATGCTCTTATCAGCCCTCCAGAACTCCATCACAAGCTTCTTCATAACTCACTGCTCTGCCCACAGCAAATACTGAAAGGATTCCAGAAAGGGTGATATAACACCACCCTGACTTTTATGCAGAGAACTCTGTATCTCTTGGATTCAAGTGTATTTAAGTGTGTTCAAGTGCTCAAAGGAAAACTGTAACCCCTATCACCCAATTAATTTTTCCCATGCATATTTTTATTGTAAGAATACTGTACAGAGGGGTTATAGATACATGAGTAAGGTAATGAGTACATTTCCTATCAAGCACTGTAACTTCCTCCTTTGTTTTTCCCCTACCATCCCTTCCCTCCTCACCACCCCAGCTCCTCCCTCCCCTCCCCGGAAATTATAAAGTTCGTTTTCAACATAGTGTCATTGTTACCATGAGAGGCAATGAAGAGAACAATACCTCTGAGGGTAGAGGTACAGGTACAGGGTAAAACAGGGTACAGATAAAGCAGTTAAGGCAAAATAATAATTTCCTAAAAAAAACATTTGTAGGGTCAGCATGGTGGCAGCTACTTGAAATGAGGAGGGTTGCCACTTGAGGGCAGCTGGGACAGAATGTGGGTACCCTGAGGTCCCCATCTCTGTGGTGGTATATACCATGGGAAGCATAGGAAAAAAATCATTGTCCAAGATTGGCCAGGATGAGACTCTTCATAAAAATAAAAACTAAAGTAAAAAATGTCTAGGGCATCGCTGATTTTAAATAGTAAAGCACCCAGCCTGGCTGGCAGATATTAGCCATAACTATCAGCATGAGCATTTCATGTTGAATCTCATCAGTGTATCAATGTTTGCTTTATATATGTCAGATCATACTAAGTCACCAAGTTGTGCCAATTTTTGCATGATATCTTTTGGATGGTATTTCTTCAAAGGTAAGTGGTGATTTAAGCGACATATCTGCAAAGTGAGAAGTGACTTCTGCCCAATTTCATGGTCTTCCTACGCCTGTGGAGGACTCAGGTCTGCAGCCTGTAAGCTTAGGGAGATAAGGTAGGTCAGAGGGAATGAGGAAATGTACTTGTATATCCTAGCCCTTTGACCACCATGACTAGGGCAAGTGACCTGAACAGTGATAGTGAATCTACAATTTTCTTTAAATTTGTAGCTAATAACATTGCTTGAATCCATGAATTATAGAACTGTTCTACAAGAGTATCTAGAAAAAAAGTATTGATTATTTGATCTAAAGTAATCTCCCTCTTCTTTCTCTTTACTCTCTTCCCTCCTTTCTGATTTTTTTCTCTCTCAAAAACAAGAAAGCCCAGAGCTGGGCAGATGGCTCAGTGGTAGAGTGCTTGCTTTGCATGCTTGAGGCCCTGGGTTTGATTCCTCAGCACCACATAAGAAAAAAGAAAATAGCCGGAAGTGGCGCTGTGGCTCAAGTGGTAGAGCACTAACCTTGAGCTGAAGAGCTGCGGGACAGCATCCAGGCCCAGAGTTCAGGCCCCACAACCGGACCCAAAAACAAAACAAAAAAAAACAAAAAACAAGAAAGCCCGAAGTAATACCTGTTGGGGAACTTTTTCAGCTACATCCATGCAATTTTAAAATTGCTGCCAGTAAAGATGTGCTCTTTATAGTTATATACAAATGAAATTTATAAATTCTGCAAAGGCTGGATGAAAAATATCCTAAACAGTTACATGCCTTATAAAAATGTATTAAAAAATCATGTCCAAGGGCATTAGCTTAATAAAGAAACACACAAAATTACCATTATCGAATAAGATCACTGGCTCAATGGGTTAGGTAATAGCTTCAGCTATTTAAAACTTTTCCCAGGAAAATTTTGTTTCTACCACATGTTTAGGCAAACAGTCAATAAGAAACTTGCAAGTCCTCATCATGTTAGAAGTCCTAACTCCCAGCAATCTGGGCTTGCTAACCCATCACAGTGCTGAAGCAAGCATTTCAAAGGTCACCAACACCTGCCTTACTGTGAAATCCAATAGATTCTTCCCTTCATTATTCTTGGTGATGGCTCCACAGAAGCTGACCTTATTATTGATCATACTCCTCCCAAATTGCTCTCCAACTTTTTTTATGCATTCTTTCTTTGTTTTCAAAGAAAAAACCACTAAGGTGGGTGCTGTATGCAGATGCAAAAGTAATTGATGTTATGGCCTCCACTGTTAAGGACAGACAGATGCTGTGGTGAGAATATCATGGCACAAAGAAGAGGGGGAAGTCTGCATGGAAGGCAGTCTCAAAAGACAACGAGGAAGCCGGGCACTGCTGGCTCATGCCTGTAATCCTAGCTCCTCAGGAGGCTGAGATCTGAGGATCGTGGTTCAAAGCCAGCCCAGGCAGGAAAGTCCATGAGACTCTTATCTCTAATAAACCACCAGAAAACCCAAAGTGGTGCTGTAGCTCAAGTGGTAGAGCTCTAGCCTTGAGTTGAAGAGCTGAGGGACAGCGCGTAGGCCCAGAGTTCAAGTCCCACAACCAACCAAAAAAAAAAGACAACTAGGAAGTCAGCAGATGAGCAAAGAGTAAAGCAAAATGGGAGATAAAGCCAAGATAGTGGTTTTCTGTTATTATGTATAAT